ATAGATACCAGACACAGTGTGGGAGGAGGGTGGGAGATGGCAGAGGGTGAGATAGGGAATCAAGGATGGGAAAAAAGGCAAAATATACAGAAAACAAGAAATGGAAAATGATTTGTTGACAATAACACATATGTTGATGTGCTTGATTGAGCCAATATACGGTGTATTCTCAATGGAAAGATCTCATTTTGTATGCTATAATGATGTACAGTGAATGAATGTAAATAAAGAAAAAAATGTATAAAAAAAAACTATTAGTATAAAACACTAATAGTTTTTTATAAAAAACTAATAGTTTTTTAAAGGGGACACTTTTGAAGACATTTGAACAGGCAAAGATTTCTTATATAAGACCCCTAAAGCATGGGCAATAATCCCTAAAATAGAAATGTGAGATTACATCAAGCTAAAAGACTTCCTCATAGCAAAGGAAATAATAATTAGAATGAAATGATAACCCTCAAAATGGGAGAAAATACTTGCAAATTATTCCTTAGACAAGTGATTGATATAGGGAACTATATAGGAACAATATATAGGGAACTCAGCAGCTTGCCCATAAAAAATGAATAATTCAATTTAAAAATGGGCAAATGAAATCATTTTTGATTAAAAAAATAAAAATAAAAAACATTTTGTACTTTTTTTTGTTTTTTTTTTATTTTATCCCTTTTTTCTCTTTCTCTGTTTTCTTTCCCCCTTTTTTTTTAACCCTTCCCCACTTTGATGCTCATCCTCCATGCACTGAGTGTCTAGACAGGTCTACATGAACCAAAATCAAATACTGTTAGGATCAGAATACTCTTTAATTCCTACTGAATCGGCCACACAAAGGGAGAAAAAAGGAATGGCAATGAGGTTGCAGATCACCTCCTTCTGCACTCCTCTGAACACTTAGATTAAATTTCAAGATATTAGGAAGAAATGCATAACCCATCAGATGACCAGAAATCACCACAGAGGCATAAAAAATATGAGAAACCAAGAAAATACCTTTCCCCTAAGGGAAAAGAATAACTCCTCTTCATTCAGGACAGTACAATGGAACTTGTGGGAATGTCTGATAAAGAATTTAGAATATCCATAGTGACAAAGCTAACAGAGGATACAAGAGAAGAGAGATAATAAACTCTAGAAGATGCGGGAGAAGAGACAATGAGTTCCAGGAGGTGAGGAAGTTTTTGCATGATCTGGAAGAGGAAATAGTCACCATAAAAAATAATCATATGGAACCGATAGAGATGAAGGCTGTAATACAGGAAATCAAAACCTCCCTTGAAAGTATTAAAAGCAAGCTAGACCATACAGAAGATCGAATCTCAGATGTAGAAGACAGAATCTCTGGACTAAAAAAATTCACCGTGAAGACTGAAAAAATAGCCCCCAAAATTAGAATAATATACAAGAAATACTAGATACCATTAAACATCCAAAAATCTAGATAATTGGTATCCAAGACAGTGAAGAGACCAATAAGGCCATTGATAATCTATTCCATGAAATCCTAGAAGAAAACTTTCTAAACCTTGAGAGACATTCAAGGATCCAGACCCAGGAAATACAAAGGACTCCAAATAGAATCAACCCAAGAAGATCTTCTCCAAGACACATTATAGCCAGATTGACCAAAAACACAGATAAAGACAAGATACTAAGAGAGAAATGACAAGTTTACAAAGGATATCCCATCAGGAACCAGCAGTTAGTGTAATGGCTATGTCACTGGACTCCCACGTAGTCAACCACGGTTCACGTCCCGGACCCGATGGTTTAAAACTCACCCCGGGCACATGTGCGTGCGTGCCCAAGATCCCGGAAGGAGAATGGAGGAGAAGGGATTGAGGCGTGACCATCCCCTCTGGGGGGTGATTCTCGCTTTCTAGCTCTATGTCTCTCTCTGTCTATCTGGTGAGCACACGCGCCCTATAGCGAAAACCTCTCCAAAAAAAAAAAAAAAAAAAAAAAAAACAAAGGATATCCCATCAGGCTAACATTGGACCTCTCATCAGAAACTTTGCGAGCAAGGAAAGAATGTGAAAATATATTCAAAGCGTTGAGAGAAAAACAATTTCAACCAAGAATACTATACCTGGCAAGATTATCCTTCATATGGGAAGAGAAGACAAGAACATTCTCAGATAAACAAAACCTGAAAGAATTTATCAACACCAGACCAGCTCTCCAAGAAGTTGTGAAGGGAGTACTATACCAGGAAAACTAAATACAGACACACAGAAATAAGAGTTCTAAACAATTAAGAAAATCGCCAACTTAATGCTAGGGACAAATTTGGAGTTGAATATTATTTTCCAGAACTTAAACAGAAAGATCAGAACACAACAAAAGATAAAGTACATGAGAGTGAACTAATGAAATAGAATTTTATGACTTCTGACTAAAACATTACTGATTTTCTTCTATGCTTGGTCTTCCAGATTTGGGAATTTTGTCTTCGCTTGAGCTACCAATAGATTCATATACCTACTGTTTGAACAGACTCTTAACCTGTTTGCTGGCTTTAAGTCTTAAGCAAAGTACTCTTAACATTTTTTTTATTTTGGCTTATTAAAGATAAAACTCCCTTTCTTGAAAAAAATTATATATTTATTTATTCAAAATGTGAAATTATTTTTATTTATTTATTTATTTATTTTTCTTCTCTTTTTGGAGAGTTTTTTGCTATAGGGCACGTGCACTCGCCATACAGACAGAGAGAGACAGAGAGACAGAAAGCGAGAAATCACCCCCCAGGGGGGACGGCCACACTGCAATCCCTTCTCCTCCATTCTCCTCTCGGGATCTTGGACACGCATGCACACGTGCCTGGCGTGAGTTTAAGCCACCAGGTCCAGGACTCAAACCATGGTCGACTACATGGGAGTCCAGCGACATAGCCATTACACTAACTGCTGGTCCCAAAATGTGAAATTATTTAAATAGAGAAAGAGAGAATGAACTACTGGTGGAAAACACAGGAGACATTAGAGTAGGCAAAAACATCTTAAGATCCCCAAAGCACAGCCAATAATCCTGAAAATAAACCGGTGGTACTACATCAGGCTAAAAAGCTTTGCATAGCAAAAGAAACAGTAATTATAGTGAAGGAACAACCTTCAGAACAGGAGAATATATTTGCAAAATATGCTGCAGATATTGGACTGATAACCAGAATACACACGTAACTCAAGCACCTTACCCCCAAGAAAATAAACAATCTGATTTAAAAGCAGACACATGAACTGAACAGACAACTCTCCAAGGAAAACATACAAAAGGCCAAAAAGTACATGAAAAAAAATGCTCAACATCTGTTCTCATGAGGAAAATGCAAATTGAAACCACAATAAGACACCACTTAACCCCAGTTAGAATGGCTAAGATTTTTTAAAAAGCACTATATGATGACAAGGCTGCAGTGAAAGGGAAAGCTTCTACAATTTTGGTGGAAATGTAAATTAGTATAACCATTGTGAAGAGCAATATGGAAGTTCCTTAAAAACCTACAAATAGAAACTACCATCTAACCCAATAATTCCACTCCTGGGTATCTACCCAAAGGATAAAAAAACACTCATTCTGAAAAACCCTTGCACATTTTTGTGTATTGCAGCATTATTCACAATTGCTAAAACATAGAATCAATCCAAACGTCCAACACATCAATGGATTGAAAAATATGTCACATATACACTATATGATATACTCAGACTTAAAAAACGAGACCCTGACATTGATCCAATGTAGGTGAATATGGAAGATTTAATATTGAGCAATGCAAGCCAGACTATGAAAGACAGGTTTTGGATGTCCCCACTTAATAGATACCAAATGTATTTATTTTATAGCAGAAACTGAAAGATTGGAAGGTATAATAGCAAGGAGAACAGCTGTAAAAACTAGAGACAATATAGGAGGGGGTCAGTAATATGAGGTGGGAGGGAGGGAATCAGGGAAAAATTCGACAGACACAAAAGTGAAAACTTATCTGTTGATAATGTATATGATAATATCTTTAGCTTGACTAATATGTCCTTTATTCATGCTGGGAAAAATATTTTATACACTATAAAGAAGTACAGTAATTAAAGGTAAATTTAAAAATAGATCTATCTATCTATCGACATCTTCTGGGAGAGCAACTAAATACTGTGTCCTGATTTGTTAGGTTAGTAAAATATCCGGTAGATGCATAATGGTTACATCACTGGATTCACACATAGTCAACTGCAGTTGGAGTCCCATCTCTACCTGCAGGATCGGCCTGGCCATTGCAAAGCGGCTGGCCCAGGATGGGGCCCACGTGGAGGTTTGAAACTCATGCCTGGCGCATGTGCGTGCGTGCCCAAGATGCAGAGAAGAAAATGGAGGAGGGGGGATTGTGGCATGGCCATCCCCCCTGGGGGGTGATTTCTTGCTTTCTGTCTTTCTGTCTCTTGGATAAATGCATGAGCCTTACAGCAAAAATCCCTCTTAATTTGTTTTCCCATCTAAATGTATTTGGTTATCTCACAATGAACCTGTGAAGTAGATATTCATTATGCTAGGATGTCTCAAGGAGTAGATATTTGTTGAACCTATGTGTGTATATGTCAGAATTTGATGATAGAAAACACTCTACCTGGTTTAAAGAAAGATTTAATAATGGGAAATTCTGTGTTCATAAAACCACTGGAAGGGCTATAAGAGCAGGCATTAGTCTGAGCTTCCAGGAGTGGTTCCCAGACCACCCCAGTTCAACCTGACATGGAGCCACTTTTCAACTCCCTACTTACAAGACCTGTCATTGCCTTTCTACAGGCCTCCCTCCCTGCTCCAAGTTGACTAAGAGGAAAAATAAACAGAAACTGCTATGTTTAGGCCCCTAACCCGTGATTGGAGAGCCCTCCTGCCCTATGGAGCTCCCCTCTCCATGAGAAGCAACAGCTGTGGAGCCAACGGCAAGGCCAAACTGGCTGACAAAGTTGCAGTGATTACGGGATCCACAAAAGGGTGAGAGCAACTCTGGGAATTCAGGAACTGTTGGTGCCTCTCAATTTTGCTGACTTCATTTTTTTACCCTCACTCCTACAAAAAAAAAAAAAAAAAAATCCACTAGGCTTAAGCACTAGTAGTTTTTTGAAAAGTGATCCTAAGGTGACCCAGTGAGGAACAGAAAACACAGTCAATCAGGATGTATTACCAAGTTACCCCACTATTGGCCTCAGAGAGTCAATGGCATCCTCCCATGAGTCAAGTCAAGTATGTGTCACAGGTCCTCTAGGACACATGAAATGCATCTCAGAGGCATCTATCAGAGGAAGGTGGAAGGAATTCACCCATAGCTCCTCCTCCATTTCTCAAGAGGTACCCTGCAAGGTCAATGCCCTACACATGTAATTACGCAGTAATTTCACAGGCCTGAGGCAGGGAGCACTCACATTGCACAGGGAAGCAAATCAAAGTTTTGTGGAACTGAGAAAGGGTTGTCACAGCAGCAATTCCAGTAGGAGGTGAGGCCAAGAAGATCTGATGTGGGTCACAGGACTGACAATTCCCTTTTTACGTCTTCAGGTCCTCTGACCGTCCATAAGTAGAGTATGGGATTAGCTGCCCTGTATCAGTAGAGACAATTCTTCTGGAGCTTCAGTAGGAGAAATGTAGCAAGCAAGAAAAGGTTCAGTCCAGAATTGAATCATCACTTGAGGGAAAAAATGGACAGAGAAGACATTTGTGGGACACAGATATGGTTTATTACCTGTTGATGGTATAGTATAGTATAGTATACTATTCTCAGCTGGGCTGGGCTGAGGTGTATATCATGCTGGGTAAAGTCTCTTTACAATCTAAATGATGTATAGCAATTGAATGTATAAATAGTAATAATAATAATAAAATAAAATGTAAAAAAATAAAAAAGATCAAATCATCACATGCTCTCCATCTCTACCTGCAGGATCGGCCTGGCCATTGCAAAGCGGCTGGCCCAGGATGGGGCCCACGTGGTCATCAGCAGCCGGAAGCAGCAGAACGTGGACCAGGCAGTGACTATGCTGCGGGGCGAGGGGCTGAGCGTGACAGGCACTGTGTGTCATGTGGGGAAGGCCGAGGACCGGGAGCGGCTGGTGTCCACGGTGAGGGTCTTAGAAGGAGGTAAGAACAGGGAAGTCATGATTCTGCTGCTGGGACTCACACAAAGGAAGAGAGTCAATGACATCCTCCTATGAGTCAAGTCAAGTATGTGTCACTAAGGCCCTGCCAGAAGGCCTGCAGTCTCCCCTGCATAGACCTGAACAGAGCAAGGACATGCTCAGGGCCGGAGGAGTGCATGTGACCGTGACTCAGGGAGATGTTGGGGTGGGAAATCCGATGAGGAAGGAGGAGTCAGCTTACAGCCACCAACAGTGTAGTCATATCAGCCAGGCCCTCCTGAAGCTCCTGAGGAGGGATCTGAGGACAGAGAGATGCTTTAAAGGAAGCTCTGGTTTTGTAGCCAAGCTATAACATTCAGGGTATGGAGAATGCTGGTGAAATTCCAGGAAATGGTGCTGGTGAGAAATGTGTTCAGGGACTGGTAGCCAACAATGCCAGAGACTAGAAGGATGGCATCAAAGGGTGCCTGGGATGAGATTCCACCACTTTTTGTTCAGAAGCTCAGTGCCTTCTTTCTAGAGAGAAGAGATGGTTCTCCATCCTCGCTTGGTGTTGTTCTTTGCTCTGGATATGACCCAGACTGAAATCTGTAGCAGAATCTTCTTCTGCTCCCTGATTCTGGCCCTCCACATCCCCTTCTCTCCTACAGGCCCTGGAACACTGTGGGGGAGTTGACATCCTCGTTTGCATGGCAGGGGTCAATCCTTTGGTGGGAAGTACCTTGGGAAGCAGTGAGCAGGTCTGGGACAAGGTGAGGTCTGGGGAAGTCCCCATGGGGAGGGTCAGACTTTATCCTCGCCTTCTGTGTACATCTCTCTCCAACTAGCTCACACATCCACAGATGGTCTTCAGATCCCACACATCCTCCTTCCCATCACAGACTCATTGGCACAGAGTGAGGCAAGGTGCTTAGACTGCCTGAGCCTCACTTTCCCCATCTGTGAGGTGTAGGTAAAAATCTAAATTGCAGTTCTTTTTCCCACTGTTCAAGAGCTCCCAATCTGTAGGAAGTGTCCATAATAAAACCAAATAGTCACAGACAATGTGGGACATAAAAAAAGAAATGACTCCCTTCTTTGCCCAGGGCTGCCCAATCCTCACAGCTGTAACACTGAACTCGTTTATCAGTGTGCTGGAGCTTCTGTAATAGCACCACATTGGGTGAGTTAGACAACAGCAATGCTGGCTCCCAGTTCAGGCAGCTCCAAGGCTCAGAACAAGGTGTCAGCAGAGCTGGCTCCTTTGGAGGTCTGTGAGGGAAAATCTGTTTCATGCTTCCCACCGCACCTCTGAGGCTTTTCTGGCAACACTGGTGTTCCTTGGCTTATATGTTTTACCCATCACCCTCCGCTCCCTGGGACCAGCAGATGGTGTAACAGTTACATCACTGGACTCCTGCATGGCCAACCATGGTTCAAGTGCAGAACCCACAGGCTTGAAACACACTGGGCAAGTGTGCATACATGCCCAAAAGAGGGGAATGGAAGAGAAGGGATTATGGTATGGTCATCTCCCATGAGGGGTGATTTTTCGTTTTCTGTCTCTCTGCCTCTCCAGAGAGTGCATGTGCCCTATAGCAAAAATCTGTCTAAAAGAAAACAAACAAAACGAAAAATAGAAGAAGAAGCTTTATCCCCATCTCTGTATTCATCTTCACTGGCATTGTCCTGTGTGCGCTTGTCTGTCTGTCTGCACACGTCCCCTTTTTGATGCAAATACCAGCTATACTGGAGTTAAATGCCCACCTTATTTGAGTATGACCTTTACCGAACTACATCTGCAACAATTCTATTTCAAGATAAGGTCACATTCTGAGAGCCTGGGGTTAGGACTCTGACATGTAAACTTGGGGTACACAATTCAACCCGTGATACCAATTTTCCCTAGACCCAGCTGGCCAGTGCTTCCTCAGCCCCATGTGGGACCTTATCCTTAGACTGGTACCCTTGGAGACAGGGGGATGCATTCTGCAGACTTCTGGGTCTTCTGCCTGCAGAGTCCTCAGCCTGATCCTTTCACTGTATCTTGACGATGCCACCCAGTTGTGAGCATAGTCATGCATGGAAGCTGGCACTCTGCCCACTTTCCCCAGTCAGACCATCTCACCCACATTCTGGTGAGGCATATGTCAGAGGTTGGAGAGAACACTGGATTGACTGTGTCTTTCCCTTCCTGTCCCCCATTTTCTCTGATTTCAGATCCTGAACATCAATGTGAAGGCCCCAGCTCTGCTGCTGAGCCAGCTGCTGCCCCACATAGAGAAGAGGGGGTGAGAATAGGGAAGCGGGTAGAGAGGGAACAGGGAAGCAAGAATGAGAGAGACCAAATCTGAGTTAGCACTTCCCACTGGCAAACAAGCTGAACTGAGCCAGTAATTCAAGAACAGTGAGAGTCTGACCCTCAGACTTCTGGGCCAGCTAGAAAAAAAAAAAAA